AAAAACTATTTCAGTTCTTACAGCAGGCTGCAGTGGTTATGGTACTTTTGCATGAATATTGTTAAGGCCACAATAGACTGCCAACAATTAAAATAAAAGGTAAAACGGTCAGGAAAATGGAAATATATTTCCAGCAGATAAAGAAAATCTTAAAGCTCAGTTTTGCAGTGGTTGAGAAGAGATACCCAGTGCTTTCAGTCCTGAGTTGGAGACACAGCTGATGGGGGAGTGGTGATACCAGCCTACTTATATAAAGTGAGATTTTAGTTGTGGCTTCACATTCCATACAAGGCATTCTAGCACATTACTCCACTACCACCAAAAAGGGCACTCGGGAAGAAGAAAACATGCCCGAAGAAGGAGGCAATCAAGGATTAGGTTTTGCACAAAGTGAGCAGAGAACAAGTGACTACCTGTGGTGGTCCATCATGAACCTGGTGTGCTGCTGTTTGCCGCTCGGGATCGCTGCCATCATCTATTCTCGCAAGGTAATAGGGCTATGGAGGGTTACCTGCAAAGATAGGATTTACAGGAGTGAGGGTCAGTTAAATCTTCCTTAGACGATAGAGACTTTTTGTTTAACAAACATTTATATTCTATCCATCATCTAATCTCTGAGATTGTGGAACTTTTTACCCGGAGATTTGAAGTGGCATTTAGTTAGAAAACGATCGCTTCGGTTTAACAACGAGTGGTATACAAACACAAAACAGATGTCTGTTCATGATTTGTTGAGACGAATTAAATTTTTTCCAATAATGCTGCAAATTCTAGCATTTTTTGATGTTGTAATTGATACACGTGATACAAACCATGAAATGTGTGGATACATTTTAAAGAGACCTGTAGAGGTATTCACAATTCTGCTTTATAACCCGTATGGGATCTAACTGCTAAACAGCAAATTGGGATGCATTGAAAACCAAACTGCTGATGTAGTTTTTAAAACCTTTTCCAGCTTGTTCATAGTTTATAAATTGACTGTTTAATCCTGAATGTTGTCATTTAGTTTTGAATTTACTAAAATGTTGTGTACAGTAAATAAATCCATTAGGCACCCAGTTAATAAGAGATAAAATGTTGGAGCTTAAAAAATATATCAACGCATGGGATAGACGGGGTCAGACGGGGTGAGACGCCTATCATCAAGCAGCCCACCCTCGGGTTCAATTCTTTGATGCTAATGCAAACTCATTAAATTGCATAATATGTCTGTATATTGGTGCTTGCAAACGTTCAATTAAAAAAAATATATATATTTCCTATTATTGCACATGGTGAAACGATATAAATCACAAAAATAATTGTTTTATTGCATAGACTAAAATATGAAAGGTTAGAAGATATGTACATTTTACAAAAGTTAAAGTTTGTAATATCTGTCATGTTATTGCATGGGGTGTAAAGTTAGAGATTATATAAACCTTCTGGTTATTGCATGGGGTGTAAGGTTAGAGATTATATAAACCGTCTGGTTATTGCATGGGGTGTAAGGTTAGAGATTATATAAACCGTCTGGTTATTGCATGGGGTGTAAAGTTAGAGATTATATAAACCGTCTGGTTATTGCATGGGGTGTAAAGTTAGAGATTATATAAACCATCTGGTTATTGCATGGGGTGTAAAGTTAGAGATTATATAAATCATCTGGTTATTGCATGGGGTGTAAAGTTAGAAATTATATAAACCATCTGGTTATTGCATGGGATGTAAAGTTAGAGATTATATAAACCGTCTGTTATTGCATGGGGTGTAAAGTTAGAGATTATATAAACCATCTGGTTATTGCATGGGGTGTAAAGTTAGAGATTACAGGGAGTGCAGAATTATTAGGCAAATTGTATTTTTGAGGATTAATTTTATTATTGAACAACAACCATGTTCTTAATGAACCCAAAAAACTCATTAATATCAAAGCTGAATATTTTTGGAAGTAGTTTTTAGTTTGTTTTTAGTTATAGCTATGTTAGGGGGATATCTGTGTGTGCAGGTGACTATTACTGTGCATAATTATTAGGCAACTTAACAAAAAACAAATATATACCCATTTCAATTATTTATTATTACCAGTGAAACCAATATAACATCTCAACATTCACAAATATACATTTCTGACATTCAAAAACAAAACAAAAACAAATCAGTGACCAATATAGCCACCTTTCTTTGCAAGGACACTCAAAAGCCTGCCATCCATGGATTCTGTCAGTGTTTTGATCTGTTCACCATCAACATTGCGTGCAGCAGCAACCACAGCCTCCCAGACACTGTTCAGAGAGGTGTACTGTTTTCCCTCCTTGTAAATCTCACATTTGATGATGGACCACAGGTTCTCAATGGGGTTCAGATCAGGTGAACAAGGAGGCCATGTCATTAGATTTTCTTCTTTTATACCCTTTCTTGCCAGCCACGCTGTGGAGTACTTGGACGCGTGTGATGGAGCATTGTCCTGCATGAAAATCATGTTTTTCTTGAAGGATGCAGACTTCTTCCTGTACCACTGCTTGAAGAAGGTGTCTTCCAGGAACTGGCAGTAGGACTGGGAGTTGAGCTTGACTCCATCCTCAACCCGAAAAGGCACCACAAGCTCATCTTTGATGATACCAGCCCAAACCAGTAATCCACCTTGCTGGCGTCTGAGTCGGACTGGAGCTCTCTGCCCTTTACCAATCCAGCCACGGGCCCATCCATCTGGCCCATCAAGACTCACTCTCATTTCATCAGTCCATAAAACCTTAGAAAAATCAGTCTTGAGATATTTCTTGGCCCAGTCTTGACGTTTCAGCTTGTGTGTCTTGTTCAGTGGTGGTCGTCTTTCAGCCTTTCTTACCTTGGCCATGTCTCTGAGTATTGCACACCTTGTGCTTTTGGGCACTCCAGTGATGTTGCAGCTCTGAAATATGGCCAAACTGGTGGCAAGTGGCATCGTGGCAGCTGCACGCTTGACTTTTCTCAGTTCATGGGCAGTTATTTTGCGCCTTGGTTTTTCCACACGCTTCTTGCGACCCTGTTGACTATTTTGAATGAAACGCTTGATTGTTCGATGATCACGCTTCAGAAGCTTTGCAATTTTAAGAGTGCTGCATCCCTCTGCAAGATATCTCACTATTTTTGACTTTTCTGAGCCTGTCAAGTCCTTCTTTTGACCCATTTTGCCAAAGGAAAGGAAGTTGCCTAATAATTATGCACACCTGATATAGGGTGTTGATGTCATTAGACCACACCCCTTCTCATTACAGAGATGCACATCACCTAATATGCTTAATTGGTAGTAGGCTTTCGAGCCTATACAGCTTGGCGTAAGACAACATGCATAAAGAGGATGATGTGGTCAAAATACTCATTTGCCTAATAATTCTGCACTCCCTGTATATAAACCATCTGGTTATTGCATGGGGTGTAAAGTTAGAGATTATATAAACCATCTGGTTATTGCATGGGGTGTAAGGTTAGAGATTATATAAACCATCTGGTTATTGCATGGGGTGTAAAGTTAGAGATTATATAAACCGTCTGGTTATTGCCTGGGGTGTAAAGTTAGAGATTATATAAACCGTCTGGTTATTGCCTGGGGTGTAAAGTTAGAGATTATATAAACCGTCTGGTTATTGCATGGGGTGTAAAGTTAGAGATTATATAAACCGTCTGGTTATTGCCTGGGGTGTAAAGTTAGAGATTATATAAACCGTCTGGTTATTGCCTGGGGTGTAAAGTTAGAGATTATATAAACCGTCTGGTTATTGCATGGGGTGTAAGGTTAGAGATTATATAAACCATCTGGTTATTGCATGGGGTGTAAGGTTAGAGATTATATAAACCATCTGGTTATTGCATGGGGTGTAAAGTTAGAGATTATATAAACCGTCTTGTTATTGCATGGGCTGTAAGGTTAGAGATTATATAAACCGTCTGGTTATTGCCTGGGGTGTAAAGTTAGAGATTATATAAACCGTCTGGTTATTGCATGGGGTGTAAAGTTAGAGATTATATAAACCATCTGGTTATTGCATGGGGTGTAAAGTTAGAAATTATATAAACCATCTGGTTATTGCATGGGGTGTAAGGTTAGAGATTATATAAACCATCTGGTTATTGCATGGGGTGTAAAGTTAGAGATTATATAAACCGTCTTGTTATTGCATGGGCTGTAAGGTTAGAGATTATATAAACCGTCTGGTTATTGCCTGGGGTGTAAAGTTAGAGATTATATAAACCGTCTGGTTATTGCATGGGGTGTAAAGTTAGAGATTATATAAACCGTCTGGTTATTGCATGGGGTGTAAAGTTAGAGATTATATAAACCGTCTGGTTATTGCATGGGGTGTAAGGTTAGAGATTATATAAACCGTCTGGTTATTGCATGGGGTGTAAAGTTAGAGATTATATAAACCATCTGGTTATTGCATGGGGTGTAAAGTTAGAGATTATATAAACCATCTGGTTATTGCATGGGGTGTAAAGACGGAAGAAGTTCCATTTTATTGAGGATCCGTCCAGTACATCTGGGCAATCTTGCCTGTGGAGGAAAGTAAATCTGGGTATCTCCCTGCTGTTGCCATAAAATCTATGGTTGGATTTCAAAATTATTCCACAATTCTGTTGAATTGTGATGATTTAATGACCAATGGGTTTGCTTCCAGTGAAAGATTGTCAGATTGCAAATTGCCAGATTTTCTACCACTTGATTGTCTACTCCTCTTCTAGGACCCCCTTGATTGTTTAGCTCAATAGCTGTAGTCAAGTTGTCTAACTGCATCGGCACATAGTTGCCGTCTATGTGACCTTTGAAGGCCAACAGTGCTTCTAAGACTGCCTTCATTTTCTTGAAGTTTGGAGGACTGATGATTTTCCTCTGGAGACCAAACACCTTGTTTCATGATTGAATTCAATTGAGTTCTCCATCGTATTCCTGAAGTGTCTGTACTTGATCAGACCCAGTGCTGCTGCCTGAAGGTTAATCCTTCAGTTTTGTCCATCAATTTCAATACTAATAAGAGTTTTTTTGTTACTCTCATGTCCAAATCCTAACCTTCTGGATCTCTGTTCCAGACTTGCAGTATTTCCCTTCGTAATGCTATTGCCCACTTGATTGCTGGAATGGTGGATGTGAGAAAATCCATCAAGCTCATAGCTTGTCTGATAATGCAGGCTGGATTTCTTTGAATGTTTATGATTTCGTTGTATATCCCTCACCAAAAGACTTTCATTTAATGTCGCAGTTTTGGTGTGTAGATCATGCCCCTTGCAGTATCATTGCTCAATTCGCTGCCATTTAGGAGTCAAATTACTTTGTCTATGCAGCCCTAGTCACACCTCCCTACATGTGACTTACACAGCCTTCCTCAACACTTCCTGTATAGAGTCATCCAATGTTTAGACTTCCTTTATTGCAAATTCTGTTCAGTTCAGAATTTCTTATCGCCTGCATTGTTAATAGCATTCTAGACCCTACAGGAGTATGTTACAGAGCAGGGGATAAAAACCTTTAAAGTAAGTTATGTCTGATTGAAAGTGAAACCTTTTTTTTTTTCCATGCAGGCTGTGTCAGTCACAGTCAGGGAAGGTGTGGCTAGGGCTGCATAAACAGAAACAAAAGTGATTTAACTCCTAAATGACAGAGAATAGAGCAGTGAGACTTCAGAGGAATGATCTATACACCAAAACTACTTAAACTAAAGCTGTTTTGGTGACTATAGTATCCCTTTAATCTTTTGTGACAGAAAAACCAAAACACAGGTTCTGTGGCAATGAAAGCTCGTTGAGGTTATTACTAAACAGCTTCAGGAGTGAGGCTTTCAGTAACAGTATACAAATGACACAGGAATGCAGAGTGCGCAACTTGCGATGGCGTTCTTGTCACTGCCTGAGTTTGATAGACAAGCTCAAGAAAGCAACAGCTCCGAACTTCATATGGATGCTGTCACGGCAAGGGTGCATTGTGACAGACTGCCTGGCACCGCGACTGGGTGCCTCCGCCAATCGCTGCTTGCTAGCTGTCGAGTACCATAAGCACCACACTGGACACCATAAGCACCGTAGCCCCTTAGCCACCGCAGCTTGGCAGGGGTCTTGCCGTCCCTTCTCACCCTGGAAGTGGGTGGGATATAAAAATAATGCCTTTTTTTCCCTTTTTTTTTAAAGCTGGGAAATGACAGGTTATTTAGAAAGGTTATTACATGTCCAATACTTTCTCTTTCAGACGCGAGATGCTGTTCTGACGCATGACATGGATTCAGCTGCGAAATACTCCCACAAAACGCTAATTTTGAATATCTCGGCTCTGGTTATCGGAATTATTCTCAACATCGTAGTTCTCTGCATATATTTCAAGGTTATTAATATCTATTAACATATCGAATCCTGACGTCCATCGGGACCGCGACCAATAATCTGCTGAGCAACATTAAACTATAACTTTATCACTTTACAACACCATTCCTGTGATTTATTTATTTTTTTGCAGCAAATAAAATGAAAATCATCTGGGAGTCTCAGCACTGCTCCAGAATGTATTAGATGTCCGTCAGGGATATCTCAATATTTAAGTTACACCAGACTAGAGATTGCTGTTAAGGTTTTGGGTCATCAACACCCAGTAACAGAAATCAGCTGAAGAGCAGTCACTAAGCAGCCCTGTTAGCAGCTCCCATGCCGGTGGCTTTCAGAAGCGGCTGACGTGACTCATGTTAAAATTCATTAGTCGGTAACCAGCTGCTACTCACTGTCATTAGTGACAGGTATTTTAGCAAGCAGTGGTTTGCCAGCAAAAAGTAGCGACAAGGTTGTATTGTATATGAAGTCCATGTTGGCATCAAGCAGACATCAAATGAGCAAAAGAGAATTCAAATTAGCAAAGTAATTAAAATCCCTAGATCTGTTTTTTTGGCCCTAGGTTTGCAATTTAGTAAGCAAGCATCTATCTATGAACAAATCTTTAGTAATTAGTGATTAACATCTCTCAGCGGTGTTATACCGTGGGATACATAGTGTCAGAACCTGGTATTCCTGCCCCTAACAAACCCCATCATTCCCAAAAATCGGGATCCATTTTCCCATAAACCCCCATTTATGTTTGCTATAATCCAGCACTAGTCCTCACCCTGCAGACAAACAAATGCAAATTTCCAAATCCAGGTTACCGGCCCATTTTAATCAGGTTGATTCTCACACTTACTTTATATACCATAAATTCTATGATAATATGTCAGATTCTTTCTGAACAATTTCTAGATGACAGATCAGGTCTACAATCGTTATATCTACACTCTAGAAATTTGGAAACAAATCACTAATTTACCAGAGTTTATCCACAAAGATCACACTTTTCAAAAATAAAGTCAGGTAAAAAAAAGATCGTTGTATGGTTGGTTCAAGATGGAAGTTTCTACCATGAAAACATTTGTGTCTTTAAGAGGTGAATAAAATGGAGAAATAAAAAAGTCTTTATCTGAGAACAATGACTGGCAAAATACAGGCTAAAGAAGTCAAGCTGGAACGGTTTCCAAATCAGCTATTTTTGCCTAAATTGTGAATTGTAATTTTCACTTCATAGGTTTATCATTAACAGGACAATTAACTAAAGTGAGAATTGTTTGGAATTCAAAGTTAAGGCCAAAGTAACCAAAATGGAGGTATAGGTAACTTGGAGAATTCTTCCTGTTTGGATATCTTAGCCTCAGATTTGAAATTCACCATTCTGGCTGTTACAGGGTCTGTAACCCTTAAGCCGCCGTGGATTTATGCCGTAACACATCCTGCTTTCCTTAACCTTTGTGTGAAATTAATGCAGACCAGTCATTACGAAGTTCCAGAAAAATAATAATAATAATGGCTTTTTTAATGCAGGTACAGATTATATATGAAACAAGCACAGTGTTCACTGGGGTGTTTCCAACAGAATCCAAAATCACCCAATCATAGACGTTCAGTGCAAAACGTATAATAATTCATATAACATTACGTATTACAGGAAATCTACTGTGCATGTCCTCTCTAAACTATGCAAAGGTTATCTTCCCTGTGTTAAACTGCTCTGTGAAATAAAAGGGAGTATCGAGTACAGCCAAGAGAGAAAATTCTGGCTTTTTACCCCTCCAGACGTGGAAATACTTAAAAGGGACACTATAGTCACCCAGACCACTTCAGCTCAATGAAGGGGTCTGGGTGCCAAGTCCCTCAGGTTTTAACCCTTCACATGTAAACATAACAGTTTCAGAGAAACTGCTATGTTTACATTAGGGTTAAGCCAACCTCTAGTGGCTGTCTTCTGGACAGCCACTAGAGGCGCATCTGCGACGCTGGAGACGAATTTTGCCTCCATCGTGCAGAACGTCCATAGGAAAGCATTGAGAAATGCTTTCCTATGGGCACTTGCCGCGCATGCGCATTCGGCTCCAGTAACCGACGGGGAAGAGGACATCGGACGGGGAGGAGAGGTGACCAGTGCCACGGGAAGTGTCAGGAAATCCGCTCTGTTTTCCTGACACTATAGTGATCCTTTAAATAAGACAAAAAGGCTTTTTAACCCTTTATTTGCCATTTTCTATAACAATTACCCTTTTCTGGCGCCCCAGGTGAGAGTTAGGCAAGGTAACTCCAGATGTACTAATTACACCTGTGGCCTTTTATTAATTCTTCACCTCGATTTCCTTGCCATTTCTCACCAAAGGAGCCATCAAGGGATGCTTGCCCAGATATCTGTTGCTACAGGATAATATATGTTGTTATTAAATCCATGTCTCAGTATGCAATACATTCATACGTTACTGTATATATTTATATATAGTTCTGTATGTCTAGAGGAATATTCACTAAGCATTGCATAGATAAAATAATTCATTCTCCATCAGTGGCGGCTCTAGACTTGGCGAGGCCTTAGGCGAAACTCATACATGAGGCCCCCACTAACACCATTATTGAAAAAAAAGCAGTTGATTTGTGTGTGTATATAAGACCGCCGCAGCTTGGTTGGGGTCTCGCCGTCAAACAATCTGTACAACCCACAGATTCCCTTCCCTCTGCTTGGGAGATAATTGAGTTTCTTACTGTATCTACTCAATTATCTCCAATCTGAAAAATCATACTTTATAAATTTTTATAACTCCCTGATTTTACATCACATACAAATAAAACCTATATTTCTGTGATCAGCATAACTTGGGGAGCAATATATGTAAAAATCACATGAATCCGTTCAGGGGTTAGAAAGTTAGGACCGACCACAAGCACATTTTCATGCCCAAAACAGTTCCATAGATTTGGGCTGTGCGGTCGGTCTATTTTACACTGAGAAAATGAGCGTTAGAATCTTCGAACATGACTTAGTCTCCAGCCGCAGTGTCAAAGTGGAGTAGAAGGTACGGGTCAGCGGTGTTCGTGCAATTGGGTAGCCGAAAACAGTTCCATAGATTTGGCTGCACACACCGCTGACCGCATTCGAATGAGTTAAAATGGCCGCCGCCACGTGTTCGTTTGACGAATGGCGGCCACTTCGACTACTTCGGCTGTATCTGAAGTGCCAATTTAATATTTGTAACACTGCTCCAAAGTAGTTAAAGGGCCAGGAACAGCAATATAAAAATCCATTATGCCCAAATCAGTTCCTAGAAGGGCAATACATCCCAGGGCCATAGTCGCAGGGCAGGAGGCTGGCAAACAGGCCCCTCCAAAAAACAGTGGCAAGGTCACTTTCACCACAAGGAGACCTAGTGTAAGAAGATGGGAGACCTAGTGTGAGAGGGAGGGTGACAGAGTGTGAGAGGGAGGGTGACAGAGTGAGAGGGGGGGTGACAGAGTGAGAGGGGGTGACATAGAGTGTGAGAGGGGGGGAGACAGAGGTGAGAGGGGGAGAATCCGTGAGAGGGGGGGAGACAGAGGAGTGAGGGGAGACAGAGTAGGGGGAGACAGAGTGAGGGGGAGACAGAGTGAGAGGGAGCGTGACATAGTGAAGGTGGGTAACAGAGTAAGAGGGAGGGTGACAGAGTGTGGCAGAATAAGAGGGGTGACAGTGTGAGGTGGTGAAAGTGTGAGGTGGGGTGACCTAGTGTGTGTGGAGCGACAGGGTGAGGTGACAGAGTACGGGTGGGTGACAGTGGTGGGTGACAGAGTAAGAGGAGGTGACAGGGTGAGAGGAGGGTGACAGGGTGTGACCTAGTGTGTGAGGGGGGGAGACCTAGTGTGTGAGGGGGGGAGACATAATGGGTGACAGAGGAAGGGGTGGTATAGTGTGAGAGGGTGTGACTGCAGGAGAGGGGGGGAGACTTAGTGTGAGAGGGGGACATTGTGCATGGGCGTGACAGAGTGAGGGGGGGTGACATTAGTGTGAGGGGGCAGTGACATTGTGTAGGGGCATGGTATAAAAGGGGGGGTGACAGGGTGTGAGAGGGGGTGACATAATGAGAGGGTTACATTAGTGTAAGGGGGTGACAGAGTGAGAGGGGGGAGACATAGTGTGATGGGGTGACAGTGTGAGAGGGAGGGCGACTGTGTGGGGGTGACAGCGTGTGAGAGGGTGACAGAGTGAGAAAGAGGAGGGATGACAGGGTGAGATGGGGTGACAGTGTTAGGGGCTGACAATAAGGTGGGGTGACAGGCTAAAGGGGGTGACATTGTTTGGGGAGTGACAGGGTGAGGTGACAGAGTAAGGGGGGGTGACAGTGTGGGGGGTCACAGGGTGGGTGACAGTGTAAAGGGGTGACATTGTTTGGGGAGTGACAGGGTGAGGTGACAGAGCAGGGGGGGTGACAGTGTGGGGGGTCACAGGGTGGGAGGTTGGGTGGCAGGGTGACAGGGTGAGGGGTGACAGGTGGGGTAATAAGGTGAGAGGGAGGTGACATGTGGGGTGGCATGGTGAGAGTGGGTGAGGGAGGTGGGGTGGCAGGGTGAGAGGGGGTGACAAGTGGGGTGGCAGGGTGAGAGAGGGGGACAAGTGGGGTGGCAGGGTGAGAGGTGGGGTGGCAGGGTGAGAGGGGGTGACAGGTGGGGTGAGGAGTGGTGTAGGGGCGTGACAGAGTGAGAAGGGGGTGACAGTGTGAGGGGCAGTGACATTGTGTGGGGGGTGACAGTAAAATGTGAGAGGGGGTGACATAGTGAGAGAGGGTTACATTAGTGTAAGGGGGTAGACAGAGTGAGAGGGGGAGACAGCGTGTGATGGGGAGACAGCGTGTGATGGGGAGACAGAGGAGAGAGAGGAGGGATGACAGGGTGAGAGGGGGTGACAGTGTTAGGGGGGTGACATAGTGTTAGGGCCTGACAATGTGAGAGTGTTAGGGTGACAGGCTGAGAGGGGGTGACATATTGTTTGGGGAGTGCCAGGGGAGGTGACAGAGTAAGGGGGGGTGACAGTGTGGGCCAGGAAGGAGAAAGGGAGGTGACAGGTAAGAGAAGTGGTGTAGGGCGTGACAGAGGAGAAGGGGGTGACATTAGTGTGAGGGGCAGTGACATTGTGTGGGGTGACAGTAAAATGTGTGGGGTGACAGTAAATGTGGAGGAGGGGGGTGACATAGCATTACTGTGTGGGGGGGTGACAGTAAAAATGTGAGTAAAGAGACACAGCGGGAGGAGAGGGTTACATTAGTGTAAGGGGGGCAGGACAGAGGAGAGGGGGTACAGCTGTGATGGGGCATGTTTGTGATGGGGACAGAGGAGAGAGAGGAGGGATGACAGGTGAGAGGGGTGATTGAAAGTGTTAGGGGGTGACAGTGTTGAAATTGACAACGTGTGGAGAGCAGCTAGGGTGACAGGCTGAGAGGGGGTGACATATTGTTTGGGGAGTGCCAGGGGAGGTGACAGAGTAAGGGGGGGTGACAGTGTGGGGGGCTCACAGGGTGGGTGACAGAGTAAGAGTTGCGGTGACAGGGTGAGGGGGATGACAGGATGAGAGGTGGGGTGACAAGGTAAGAGGGAGGTGACAGGTGGGGTGACATGGTGAGAGTGGGTGAGGGAGGTGGGGTGGCATGGTGAGAGGTGGTGACAGGTGGGGTGAGAAGTGGTGACACGGGGTGGCATGGTGAGAGGGAGGTGACAGGTGGGATGGCAGGGTGACAGGGAGGTGACAGGTGGAGTGGCAGGGTAAGGGAGTGACAGGGGTAGGGGGTAGTAAGGGGTGACAGTGGGGGGGGACACGGGTGGGTGACAGAGTTGGAGGTGGGGGGGGTGACAGTGTGAGAGGGGGAGTGAGAAGAGGTGACAGGGGTGGCATGGTGAAAGGGGGCAACAGGTGGGATGGCAGGGTGGGAGGGGGTGGCAGGGTGAGACAGATGGGGTGGCAGGGTGAGAGAGGGGTGACAGGTGGGGTGGAAGGGGGAGGGAGGTGACAGGGGGGGTGGCAGGGGGAGGGGGTGATCAGGGTGGCAGGGTGAGAGGGGGTGACAGGTGGGGTGGCAGGGTGAGAGGGTGACAGGTGGGGTGGCAAGGGGAGGGAGTTGACAGGTGGGATGACAAGGTGAGGGGGGTGACAGGTGGGGTGACAGGGTGAGGGGGGTGACAGGTTGGTTGGCAGGGTGACAGATGGGGTGACAGGTGGGGTGACAGGGTGGGGGAGGGTAACAAGTGGGGTGACAGGGTGAGGAGGTGACAGTTGGGGTGGCAGGGTGACAGGTGGGGTGACAGGGTGAGGAGGTGACAGGTGGGGTGGCAGGGTGACAGATGGGGTGGCAGGGTGACAAGGTGAGGGCGGTGACAGGTACCTTTTTCCCTGGTGGTCCAGTGGTGGCAGAGTCCCTGGTGGTCCAGTGGTGGCAGTCAGACTCCTTGATGGTCCAGTGGGCTCTGCGGTCTGCAGCTCTGCTGGTGGCAGTCAGACTCCCTGGTGGTCCAGTGGGCTCTGCGGTCTGCAGCTCTGCAGACCACATGGTGAATGTCTCGCGATCTCCAGAGCGGCAACGCTCTGATTGGCTAGAGATCGCGAGACACTTCAGTCTGCATCTCACACCCGGCAGAGCTGCAGACTGAAGGCTGGCTCTCCCGGGCAGAATGACAGGAGGGGCCTCGCACCCGGCGGCATACAAGGCAAGCCGCCGGGTCCCCTCCTGTGTCAGGTCCTCGAGGACCCGACATGTCAGTATGCTCTATGGCGGCTTAGGCGGCTGCGAGGCCCCACACAGCGCAAGGCCTTAGGCGGCCGCCTAAACCACCTAATTAGAGAGCCGCCTCTGTTCTCCATCACTGGCCAAACAACCATTTGGCCTTGGTTTCCGTAAAAGCTTGCTGCAAATTGATACCCATGTGATCAGACAGGAATGAAACATATTAACAGGATGCAGCAGAATGAGACAGTATAATCCAGACAAAATGGGGAGATGTGGGGTATTTGGAGAACAAACAAACACTAAACAAGAGTCAAACTGGCTTTGATCCTGCTGACCACCCACAGGAGGGCTAGACTGGGGAGACTTTCAAACAATGTTTGTTATTTACTACAAGTGATGCTGAAAGGGACACTCTAAGCAATCAACGGTCTTTACGAAGGTTGTTGGATGAAGAGGTCCCCTGACCCGGTGCCCCAGTTTGTAAAGGAACACTGCCAATATCAGCCTACTTCCACTGAAACTATATATATATTGAATTCCCTTTAGAGATGCCAATAATTCTCACTTTAGTGTATAAACCTGTACAGTGAAAATTTTCAGGAAGTTGGGGTGAATTTTAGGCCAAAATAGTCAATCTGAGAACATAGCGGACTTTGACATTTTGACCTTATATTTGAAATTCACTTTTAAAAGGAGCACTCGACACACAATGAAACACGTCAGCTTGCTGGAATGCCTTATGTTTAAGTAGTGCCCCATCGTAATTCTATTTCTATGACAAAGAAAATTTTTACTGACCATAAATGTATTTTTCCTGAAGATAAGAGGCAGTGCATTACAACAGGGATCTAATCTGGAGGGAAAAACAGGCAGGCAAACCTCCCCCCCACCAATTCCCCTTAGCACTATAAAGTGCCATTATGTCAGGAGTACTGTAGATGCCCAATATGCAGAACTTAAGTAGATAATAAGAAAATACCTAAGACGTATTACTGTACCTTAGAATGGCCATAATTAATGTATAAAAGGTAAGTAGCCACAAGACAGGGTAAAGACAAGACCTAGAAATAACGTAAATGATAAACAAGCTACGGGTCAAGGAATGGAGATATCAGAATAGTCAGGAGCCAAGCCAAAGGTCAAGGAATACAGAGATGGGATAGTCAAAAGGGAATGTGATCCTTGTTTGCAGATAGCACGGTCCACTAGCGTAAACAACAGGCACATATAATCCAGGCAATTTATCAGCTAGCCTTGACTGCTTTCCTTTCTGCACTCCCAGTGCTCCAAGCCAGCCTTGACTTGTTTCCTTCTGCACTCCCAATGCTCCAAGCCAGCCTTGACTGCTTCGTTCTGTGCTCCCAGTGCTCCAAGCCAGCCTTAACTGCTTTCCTTCTGCACTCCCAGTGCTCCAAGCCAGCCTTAACTGCTTTCCTTCTGCACTCCCAGTGCTACAAGCCAGCCTTGACTGCTTTCCTTTTGCACTCCCAGTGCTCAGTCTCCTTGACTCTCTCACGGGAGAGAAGCCAGCAATCCCCTGCTTAGCAGGGAGGGGTTTATCCCCTGCTGAGCAGTGGGTTGGAGACAGTTCCAAAAAACTCTGGCCTGGACCTTATTTCTCCCAGTTGTGTATAAACTGAGGTGTGGAGCATTGGCCCACCCTGCTCTCCAAATGCTCCACCCCAGGGGCCCATAACTAAATGTAGCTTTGTGTTGCACACCACACATACAACATGTACTTCCCCTGTGGTTAAATGTTAAAGGCCTCTCTGCCTTCACTTGACTGCTGACAGAAATACCAAACCTGTTACCCCCAATAACGACATGACACCTGATTGTTGGGTAAGGGCAACGGCCACAGCTTTATTAAACTTTAACACAGCCAGCATATCCACCTGTCAGCTGTTGGGGTGACTACCCAACAGACAGATACTTCATGTAACGGATCACCTGGGACCCCGACTGGGTACCTCCGTTGAAGGATGCTCCTAGCACTTCCTGAGGACTCCAAGCACTGCAGCAGACACCAAAACCACTGAACCGTAGGAGCATATGAATGCTCTCAAGCACATGAATGCTGTAGACAGTTGAATAGGAACCATACGAATAGGTTTACTCTCCTAGCAGTCAAACTGGAACAGCATACAATAAATCCTCCCCCAATAATAAGACGACACTTCACTTTGAGGGTTAAGCATGAACTGCCTGGACTGGCACATACAGCCTCTTTTATTCCCAATCCACAAATTTAGTACTGCCCACAGGGTTTTACAGAACAACCAATCAATCTGTACAATACACACAGACACTCCCACACAAAATCCTCCCCTCTACCTGCAATACAATTACCTTACACAATGGGTAATCTAATTAGCACAGACAGAGAAATACAGTTTCATAAAACACATCACAGGGACCCCAAAACATGCAATAACCCAATAAAAATACTTTGGAAGATACAGTTTAATGCAGATTCTGCAGAACATATACAGGCTAAATGAAAAACAATCACTGTATAATGTGTCCCCTGCTGTATAGTCCAAAACCACTGCACGATGTCTCTGTGCACCAAATACTGGCGAGATGGCACCGTGTTGAAAAGTCCAAACAGTGTCTGTGAGTTAAAATGGCCGCCATCCATTGTTCTCACCATGTGCTTCATCCATTGTTCTCACCATGTGCCTCTGATACAGGAAATGGTGGCCACCCAGTAACTCCACAGTATGTCCCCAGATGGTTCTTAAAGGGCCAGCAGCAGCATAATAAAATACAATATGCCCAAATACTGTATTTAAAGGGCCAAATCTCCCAGGGGCCGTAGTCAGCAGGCAGGAGGCTGGCAATCAGTCTTCTCCAATGCCCAGTGGCGAGGTCGGTTTCGCCACACTCCAAGTCTTTATCCAGAGTTCGTACAGCCTGCCTTCAGCCATCAGCCCTAGCAGGCTGCGATTCCCCAAATCCTTTCCGTGCATTACGTGCGCTGGCCAGGAACTCCGCCATAGCTGTGACAAAACAAGAACAGAAACAAACAACACCACAAGCCAGAAACTATCACATTGCATAGGAAAATGGGGAGGAAGGGCTGTTCCAGACTGCTCCTTCTGCTCTGGTGAGTACCCTCCCTGCTGCTCTCCTTCTTATATCCCCCCATCTTGCAACTATGTATCTCTCATACTCCCACCCCCTTACTGCAGGGCAGCAGTCATGCCTCCCCTACCTTGCAGTCCAGGGGATCTCTCTCTCACAGGAAGCCAAGGTCAAATACACAAGAATCAATAAAAGGAACACGCTCTCAGATAACCAAAATGGAAAAAGCAGGCTATTATAGTCCAAGGTGCTCCCTGACTGGCTGCAGGGAAGCACGTGATCATGGGTGTGTGTGATACACTGACAGGATAAAATTGATCCGGCACTTTAAGGGTTAAATGGAAATACCCTTATCAGTGTTTGTGTCTGTCAAGTAAGTGGTTGTCTGTCAGCAGAACCAGCATATTAAATTTAAACAATCATACACTCTCCCTCGTGGTTCTGCTCAGTTAGTGAGTCAGAGCACAGGCTCTGACAACATTGAAAGCAGGAGCAATGAAGGAGTGGGTATTAGGTATTAAGATCTGAACCAACAGAACGTGCGCATCACCACCAGGGTCAGGGTCATTTGAGGGGGCATTTGTGACCAAGCACTAGAATGAGGGGGGCGCTGCAGAGAAGTGTGACAGCTTGGACTCTGGAGTTAGTCGCTGATTTAGAATGCAGCCTTAAAGGCCTCCCAACACTATGCTATAGCTGGCAAAGGAGCTGCTGAGTGTAGGTGGTGTTACACCAGCAGTATTCTGAGTGTAACTACCTACCTACCCTGTCACATAACCACACATGAACAATTCAATTAACCTACCAACCAACCTGTCACATAAGCCATGAATTTATGAATGTTTGTATTTTTGTGACTGTGTTTGTATATCCATGATGATGTGTGTCACGGTTCTCACCACAGCAGACAGACATGGTCGACCAAGGAGTTCCCAACAGGGGATTTGAACCAGGGAACTTTGTCCTGGTCCTGCTTCCTACCTCTGAGCCACAGCAGCTTTGTTTATCTACAAGTCATTCCGGTCCTGTTCATCCTGGCATATCTACGACACTGGAGGCTGTACCTTGACTATGGCTGTGCTTCACCTGACCCTGATCAGGCATCAGCAGGGTATTTAAACTCAGCCTCGCCCTGTGATCAGGATCAAGTCTTTGATCCTGTTGTGTGATCTGTACCAGTGTTCCTGTCGTTTGATCTGCTACTTATTATTGGCCCCGGCTTCTGACTACGTTTACTCTGACCTCTGGCATCCCTTGACTTCGGATATTCCTCCTTGTTCCTGTCCTCTGGCATCCTTTGACCTCGGCTATCCCTTGACAATCCTGCTGTTTGAGTCCTTGCCTGTCCTGCGACTTGGTACTTCATCCTGCACAGCCCCCGTACACAGACCCACAGGCCAGGTAAATTCTTACCTGACCACCTTGGCCTGGTAATGACCATATGGGCTAGTCCCAAGGAAAATAAAGTTTTAGACAGTTCTACTTCACCCTCAATCTAGAATCCTGTCTCTTATTGAGGGAATTTCTATATCACCACAAGGGATTGCTATGCTCTGTATGCTCCCTTGGATAATCACTTCCAAGCTCTTTTAAGAGCTTGTTCCTGTCTTGCTCTCTGAAGGAGTCTATGGTGGTTATGGTGTCTGCTGGAGTCCTTGGAGCCCTCAGGAAGCGCTAGGAGCATCCAATAAGAGGTATCCAGTCGGGGTGCCAGGTGATCCGTTACAGACTGTGATTGTCTATTGTTGTGACTTAGATGATGATCGGATCACATTTTATGACCAATTTGTACAGAAATCCATATCATTCCAAAGGGTTCATATACATTTTCTTGCAACTGTATAAATATACACACGCACAAATGTGGAGAACATGTAAACGTTAACAAAATTCAGATTTCCAGCACCTTGTTAAATATGCTAGTCTATCTACTTTACATATGCAATTGTAACAATATCTCATGATGCCAGAATGGTTACAAAATAGTTTTAAAAAAATATATTTATTTCTAAAATAATTTACAACATGCAATTTAAATGGAATTTAAATTTAACACTTTTATATAAATATTTCACAAACACAGAAAATGGTCATGTAACAGAACTGTACTTTCTGCCTGGACATATTTGACAATAACTAAGCCTAATAATACAAGGGAATATACTCACCTGGTTAGGTGGATTACTATAGCACAGTTCGGGACTTATGTGGCCAGTATTCGTCTATTTGTGCAATCCATGCGGTAGAGACTCAGCAGGCACAAAGACGAATACAAACTGCCGAACACCGGACCACCCTGCTGTTCAATTATGTGGTATTTTTACCTCCCAGACTGGCATATACAATTCGTGTGAGAAATGCAAGAATCCTTTGTTTTAGTTCCTAGGTGGCCGCCATTTCGGGACTTTGCACGTGTTCGCGGCCATCTTAACGCACGAACAGCAGTGTTTTGCCGTCGAGTGTCTGGAACTAAAATCGGACACTCGAGTAGGCGAACACCGCTGAGACCTCCATAACATCGTAAATTCGTGCTGAAACTACTGAACGCTGATTCCAGCGATCAACAAGATACATACGGATGGAAGGATTTTCATGCCTTTTCATCGCACGAACGAGGACCTACCGCAAGGCCAAAACTTATGGAACTATTTTCGGCTAGTGTGCCTATGCGGTCGGTCAAAACTTTAAAGTCGCATAACTCCTGAACGCTTTCACCGAATGGGATGATTTTTCACTATGTTGTTCCCCTAGATGAGGGCTATCTGGGAAATTTAAGGATGTACCCCATGTATTTGGGGTACATCCAAAACTTGTGCAAAAATGTGTGTGTGTTAATTATGTTAACTGTTTATCTGATGGGAGGAGACGTGTGAGATGTACCATGTTTGTGATTGGGTATTGTGCTAATTATGTAGGTGTCGCCCTCCCAAGGGCAGAATTGCATAAAAGGAGAATCCCTGTCAATAAAAGTTAGTTCTGCTTGACCCTTCAAAACATAGCCTCGTCTCGTACTTGGAAGGGGATTTACTGCACAATAACCTTGCTACATTTTACAGCTATGCCTGACTTTACTCTTGGATCTCGTGGATGGGAATAAGAAACTCCATTACTACACAGCACCTTGCCAGGAAAAGGACGTCTCCAACGGCTGATACCCCCTTACTACCTGGGTAGCCGTTACAGGTCACTTAACAGTGTATTCTCTACACTCAGAGTCTAACAGAGGGATCGAGGGCCTGCTCAGTGAGTTTACATGTTAGAGGGAGTGGGGTATAGTGACAGTAACAGAGGGATCGAGGGCCTGCTCAGTGAGTTTACATGTTAGAGGGAGTGGGGTATAGTGACACAGTAACAGAGGGATTGAGGGCCCTGCTCAGTGAGTTTACATGTTAGAGGGAGTGGGGTATAGTGACACAGTAACAGAGGGATTGACAGAGGGATTGAGGGCCTGCTCAGTGAGTTTACATGTTAGAGGGAGTGGGGTATAGTGACACAGTAACAGAGGGATCGAGGGCCCTGCTCAGTGAGCTTACATGTTAGAGGGAGTGGGGTATAGTGACACAGTAACAGAGGGATTGAGGGCCTGCTCAGTGAGTTTACATGTTAGAGGGAGTGGGGTATAGTGACACAGTAACAGAGGGATTGAGGGCCTGCTCAGTGAGTTTACATGTTAGAGGGAGTGGGGTATAGTGACACAGTAACAGAGGGATTGAGGGCCCTGCTCAGTGAGTTTACATGCTAGAGGGAGTGGGGTATAGTGACACAGTAACAGAGGGATTGAGGCCCTGCTCAGTGAGTTTACATGTTAGAGGGAGTGGGGTATAGTGACACAGTAACAGAGGGATTGAGGGCTGCTCAGTGAGTTACATGTTAGAGGGAGTGGGGTATAGTGACACATAACAGAGGGATTGAGGGCCCTGCTCAGTGAGTTTACATGTTAGAGGGAGTGGGGTATAGTGACACAGTAACAGAGGGATTGAGGGCCTGCTCAGTGAGTTTACATGTTAGAGGGAGTGGGGTATAGTGACACAGTAACAGAGGGATTGAGGGCCTGCTCAGTGAGTTTACATGTTAGAGGGAGTGGGGTATAGTACACAGTAACAGAGGGATTGAGGGCCCTGCTCAGTGAGTTTACATGTTAGAGGGAGTGGGGTATAGTGACACAGTAACAGAGGGATTGAGGGCCTGCTCAGTGAGCTTACATGTTAGAGGGAGTGGGGTATAGTGACACAGTAACAGAGGGATTGAGGGCCTGCTCAGTGAGTTTACATGCTAGATGGAGTGGGGTATAGTGACACAGTAACAGGGATTGAGGGTCCTGCTCAGTGAGTTTACATGCTATAGGGAGTGGGGTATAGTGACACAGTAACAGAGGGATTGAGGGCCCTGCTCAGTGAGTTTACATGTTAGAGGGGTGGGGTATAGTGACACAGTAACAGAGGGATTGAGAGCCCTGATCAATGAGCTTACATGCTATAGGGAGTGGGGTATAGTGACACAGTAACAGAGGGATTGAGGGCCCTGCTCAGTGAGTTTACATGCTAGAGGGAGCGGGGTATAGTGACACAGTAACAGAGGGATTGAGGGGCCCTGCTCAGTGAGTTTACATGTTAGAGGGAGTGGGGTATAGTGACACAGTAACAGAGGGATTGAGGCCCCTGCTCAGAGAGTTTACATGTTAGAGGGAATGGGGTATAGTGACACAGTAACAGAGGGATTGAGGGCCCTGCTCCGTGAGTTTACATGTTAGAGAGAGTGGGGTATAGTGACACAGTAACTGAGTTGAGGGGCCCTGCTCGGTGAGTTTACATGTTGGGGAGTGAGGTATGAGTGACACAGTAACAGAGGTTGAGGGCCTGCTCAGTGAGTTTACATGTTGGGGGTGGGGGTATGGTGACACAGTAACAGGGGATTGGGGGCCTGCTCAGTGAGAGGTTACATGTTAGAGGGTGAGGTATAGTATTTACAGTAACAAGAGGGATTGAGGGCCCTGCTCAGTGGTTTACATGTTAGAGTGGGGTACTTGACACAGTAACAGAGTTAGGGGCCCTGCTCAGTGAGTTTACATGTTAGAGGGAGTGGGGTATAGTGACACAGTAACAGAGGATTGAGGGCCTGCTCAGTGAGTTTACATGTTAGAGGGAGTGGGGTATAGTGACACAGTAACAGAGGGATTGAGGGCCCTGCTCAGTGAGCTTACATGTTGGAGGGAGTGGGGTATAGTGACACAGTAACAGAGGGATTGAGGGCCTGCTCAGTGAGTTTACATGTTAGAGGGAGTGGGGTATATTGACACAGTAACAGAGGGATTGAGGTCCTGCTCAGTGAGTTTACATGTTGGGGGGGTGGGAGCCATAGGTGACACAGTAACAGAGGGATTGAGGGCCTGCTCAGTGGTTTACATGTGGGGTAGGGGTATAGTGACACAGTAACAGAGTTGGGGGGCCTGCTCCAGTGAGTTTACATGTTGTTGGGGAGTGAGGTATAGTGACACAGTAACAGAGGTTAGGGCCTGCTCGGTGAGTTTACATGTTAGAGGGAGTGGGGTATGGTGACACAGTAACAGAGGAGGATTGAGGACCTGCTCAGTGAGTTTATGTTAAGAGCAGGTGGGGGTAATAGTGACACACAGTAACAGAGGGATTGAGGTCCTGCTCAGTGAGTTTACATGTTAGAGGGGTGGGGTATGGTGAAAGGCAGTAACAGAGGGATTGGGGGCCCTGCTCAGTGAGTTTACATGTTGGGAGTGGGGTATAGGGACAATAACAGAGGGATTGAGGGCCCTGCTCAGTCAGTTTACATGTTAGAGGGAGTGGGGTATAGTGACACAGTAACAGAGGGATTGAGGGCCTGCTCAGTGAGTTTACATGTTAGAGGGAGTGGGGTATAGTGACACAGTAACAGGGGATTGAGGGCCCTGCTCAGTGAGTTTACATGTTAGAGGGAGTGGGGTATAGTGACACAGTAACAGAGGGATTGAGGGCCTGCTCAGTGAGTTTACATGTTGGAGGGAGTGGGGTATAGTGACACAGTAACAGAGGGATTGAGGGCCAGCTCAGTGAGTTTACATGTTAGAGGGAGTGGGGAATAGTGACTCAGTAACAGAGGGATTGAGGGCCTGCTCAGTGAGTTTACATGTTAGAGGGAGTGGGGTATAGTGACACAGTAACAGAGGGATTGGGGGTCCTGCTCAGTGAGTTTACATGTTGGGGAGTGGGTATAGTGACAGTAACAGAGGGATTGAGGGCCCTGCTCAGTGAGTTTACATGTTAGAGGGTGGGGTATAGTGACACAGTAACAGAGGGATCGAGGGCCCTCCTCAGTGAGTTTACATGTTAGAGGGAGTGGGGTATGGTGACACAGTAACAGAGAGATCGAGGGCCCTGCTCACTGAGTTTACATGTTAGAGGGAGTGGGGTATAGTGACACAGTAACAGAGGGATTGAGGGCCCTGCTCAGTGAGTTTACATGTTAGAGGGAGTGGGGTATAGTGACACAGTAACAGAGGGATTGGGGCCCTGCTCAGTGAGTTTACATGTTAGAGGGAGTGGGGTATAGTGACACAGTAACAGAGGGATTGAGGGCCCTGCTCAGTGAGTTTACATGTTAGAGGGAGTGGGGTATAGTGACACAGTAACAGAGGGATTGAGGACCTGCTCAGTGAGCTTACATGTTAGAGGGTGTGGGGTATAGTGACACAGGTTAGGGGGGTATTACAGGTAATGTACAGGTTAGGGGGGTATTACAGGTAATGTACAGGTTAGGGGGGTATTACAGGTAATGTACAGGTTAGGGGAGTGTGAAGAATCCCCCTCCATTCATTCGGTACTTTCCCTCCCTGCTACTTTATTCATGGATTTATTACTGTGACAAAGTGCCCTTCGCCACTCGTGCCTGGAGAGGACTGCTTGCCCGCCTCTTGCCCGCCTCTTGCCCTGTGACTATGGACCCTGGGAGATTTGGCCCGTTCAATTCAGTATGATAGGAGTTTTGTATTTTTGTATCCTTTTGTGTTGAACTAGGAACATGTGCTCAATGGAGTCTGCCTCTATCCCTGGATATAATTGGATTACTTTCCCCATTGTCTCCAGGATAGAGGGCTCTGTAAAACCGATTTGGGCCAGATAACCATGCTGCCAGCCAGGCCCCAAAAGATACTTTACTAACTTCTGAACCCCTGGTCTGATTCATGCCATTTTTTGATATGTTGTTTCCCTGAATGGATTGATTGTGAATATATAATTTTTATGTGAATGTGATGTATATTTTAGAAGTTATGAATATGCTGTAAAAACTGTATTTTTCCGACCTGTGATAATTGAATCTTCTATTGTATAAGATAATTGAATCACAGGCAGAGGGGAGGATTTTGTGTGGGCTGTAACCTCTGTTTTATTGGCTACTGTAAATAACGTGTGTGTCCCTTCCCTGCATGGGAGCAGGGCATAAAAGAAACTGTAGCTTGAATACCTGTTGTTGTTACTTCCAGTAAAGTCTTGTTCCAGCATTAAGCCTTGGCTCATGTTTGGGGGAAGGGATACCTACACTCTGGGGATTGCTATAATCACTTACTCCCCAGAGTAAACTCTTGCAATAGCTTGATTTGTTCCTGCTACGCTCTCTGGATTTAGGAGAGGTTCACCCACTGGGAGCTGGATCCTGGTCGTGGATCCAGGGTGGGTGGAGATGGCGAGACCCCGGCGCAGCTGTATCGCTGGAAGTGGGGTCTGCAGTGCTGATGGTGTCGGTTGGATTCCTCAGCGAGCACTAGGCGCATCGATTGGCGGAGGTACTCAGTCGGAGTGCCAGCGTTCCGTCACAGGGAGGTATTACAGGTAATGTACAGGTTAGGGGGGGAGGAATTACAGGTAATGTACAGGTTAGGGGGGAGGTATTACAGGTAATGTACAGGTTAGGGGGTATTACAGGTAATGTACAGGTTAGTGGGGGGTATTACAGGTAATGTACAGGTT